GCAGGAAGCGGGGCCGTTGCAGGAAAGGCTACATTTGGAGGAAAAGAGCTTTTATTTTAGAAATGAAAAAAGATGAGAGGAGAAGGCCTTTGCTTCTTTATGAATCAAAAACTTGGGGGGAGATTTCCACCCACCCCATCTGCCTATCTTTCTCCCTCCCCTTTTTCTCCCTTTTGCCCAGTCTCCGCCCATACAGATTTACACATCAGGAGTCCACTCTCTGTGGAGCCTCCAGCCAGAGTTCCTGCCCACAGCTGAGAGTAGAGTCAGGATTAGTTCAAAGCCTTGATTGCTTTGTTGCTAGCTGAGGAGAGAAACAGGCTTGGAAAAATAATGGCAACCAGTACAGCAATAATAACCCATGCTCGCTTCTCTGCTGGGCCTCCCAGTTTATAAAACATTCACCTGGTCTCTTGACAACCCTGGGAAGTGTGTGTGTCGGGAGGTAGTGTTCCTTTTTCACTGATGAGAAAACCGAGGCTCTAGTGGTAAAGTGGTGCTAGGGCTCCAGCACACACAGGCCTGGCCTTCGTTCAGCCTGTAGCCCAGCACTTGAACCTCAGACCGGTGCTGAGAGACATCATGCCAGGCAGACTGACAAAGCTGAGGACCCGTGTTGCTTTGGAACTGATCCCTGACTGCCTCCTACGGTCTCCTCTTCAGCCTCCTCAGCATGCCCGCTGAGGCCCTGAAATTCCAGTTCTGAGTAGAGCTGACCAGGTCCTTCTTGGCATCCTCAGGCCCTCTCCCTCTGCTTCTGACTTTTGCCATGACTTTTTCTTTTTTGGGTTGGCCAGGTGTCTTAGGTGACCATCCCTGCCTGTCCCTGCCTTCCTGGCCACATCTCACCTTCCTCTAGGAAGCCCTCCCAGTCTTCCTTCCCATCACTGACCTCCCTTTCCATAGACTTCCTGGAGTAGTGACATCTGTATACTCCTAGAGCCTCGCTGGGTCAGGAAGTGAGTCAGGGCCTCCCCTTCCTCCTTGACTGACTCCTTTCCAGCAAAGCACAGGACAGTGCCCATGGGGCAGGGGGAGAAGGAGACTCAGAACACACTCAAAGAACGAAGCAGGATGCCAATACCCAGGGGCGGAGGAGAATTCCAAATTTTCTGAAGCTACAATGACATGTGTTATGTACTGCCTCAGTTTCCCCAAGAGAACTGTCTGGGAGAACAAACAACAGAGAGCCCAGCATCACCCTCTTCCCTGCCGCAAAGTTCAGACAAGCATATTGGCCAGGCCCTACTGGTCACCCTCTCTTACTCTCAATGCTTCTGAGACTAAGAGTGCCGGCTCTGGCAGTGGCTGTGGTTTGGTGCTGCCCTTGGCCAGGACCTGGCACTCTGAGTGCCTCTCTGTTTTGCACACTGACCGCCTGGGCCCCACCCAAGGAGCCTGTGGCCAAAGCTAGCTTGCTGGTAAATGACGGGTACTTGTGCTCTAGATGGGGTGGTGGTACCTGAGCTGGGGTGTGCTCCAACTGCATAGGTCCTGAGCTCAGGGAATTGGCCTTCCGCCATGAAGAACACAGAACTCAGGCTACTACAGTGCAAGGGGACACAGGCTTTTGGCTCTAATTCTGTGGCCCTACAGTCTAATGAGCAGGAGCGCCATGGCAGTGGGCCCCAGGCCTGGGCCTCTGACCTGGGCTTCTGCTAGGAGTAGTCTTGCCCCTGCTCCTGGCTGGAGGCAGTAATAGAGCTCCTCCAAGTGCAGGCAGCCAAGCACAGGAGGGGCGGGATAGCTATTCCCAACAATTACACAATTCAGGAGCTGAAAAATTATATTTGCTGCCCTAGGGAGCCGGCTGCGGACCAGAGGCCGGTGGCAGGGCTTTGCCCTGGTGAGGGGAAGGATCTGAGTCATGCCCAAGCACTACTGGGGAGATTGGGTGGGGCTGGGAGGACCCTCTCAGAGCCTCTGTTCCCAGGAGCAGATACTTATCTTCCATACCACATCCACAAAGTCTTGTGGCTTCAGTGGCTATGACCAGCTGGCCACAGCTGGCTGCCCCTGGGGTTTTGCTATTTCTAAATATTGGTTCATACTGTTAACCCCTGCTGTGCCCTCTTAGTGGATGAAAAGATGCCTGCAGAGACACCCTTCTGGAGAAGTGAACAGTTCTTGGTTGGATGGGAAATCTGTGCACATACTTGCTTAGGGCAGGTACCTTTGGGGACTAAGGTGGGTCTCCTAAAAGAAGGATGAGAAATACCTGCTCAGGGCTGGGAATGAGGCTTCAATGGGTGTTAGGAGATGTGGCTGACCTGGCAGCTGGGCAAGGCAGTGGAAAGAATGTGGGGTTAGGAGCCAGAAGTCTGGTTCTATGTCACCTTGGGTGAGTCACTTCACTTCCCTGCACCATTCCCCTCATCTGTAAACTATAGAACCACCATGGGCACTTCGATGATGCTCTCCAACAGAGGTGTTGGGGTTTTATAAACTGTGAAAGGCAGTGCCTGGTGGTCATGATGATGGGAAGTGTTGATGCCAAGGTCTTGTTCTTTGCACAACTCCCAGGAATCCCTTGAAGGAGAGGCAAGACTGACAACCAAGAGCCAGCTGGAGTCAGCTGTCTTCAGCCTGCGTGGGCCTTAGTGGGTACATTTAGCTTGGATTTCTGCCCCATGACTAAGTGTCCCTGTGTAGTGAAAAACTTGTGGTAGCCAACCTCCAAGATAGCTCTCAGTGGTCCTCATCTTCTGGTATTCATACCCTCGTGTAGCCACCTTCCACACTGAATAGGGCTGACCTGTAAGGCATTACAGAAATGATGGAGTGTGACTTCTAAGGCAAGATCATAAGATGTGGCACCTTCTGCCTTGCTCTCTTCTGATTGCTTGCTCTGGGAAAAGCCAGCCAGCATGACTTGAGGACAGTTAAGCAGCCTGTGGAGGGCCCATGTGGAGAGGAACCGAGGCCTCTTACCAACAGCCAACACCAATTCACCATTTATGTGAGTGAGCCATCTTGAAAATGGATCTGCCAGCCCCGATCAAACTTTCAGATGACCGTCACTTACTGAGAAACCTGGAGTTAGAAAAATCCAGCTAAGCCACTTCTAAACTCTTGACCCACAGAAATAGTCTTAGGTTCTGAGGGCAATGTATTACACAGCAGTGAATAACTGATACAAACCCGTACGATGCTAATTGGTAGTCCAGTGAGCCAGACTGGGAATGTGTCTGTGACTCGGAAAGTAGGACTCTGCTCCTTTGAGGAGGAGTGATGTTTCCTTGATCAATCAATGGATTGACTTGTTCAATCATTCATTCATTCATTCATTCATTCAACAAATATTTCTCAAGCATTTATCATATGTCAGGCACTACATTGGGGGCTGGAGACACAAGAGTAAATGACAGAAATCCTGAGGAGTAAGGACAAGGGAGATGTCTAGGACAAGCACTTGGATGGACAGTGGTATCTTTCGTTGAGGTGAATGGGAGGCAGGGCGTGTTGATTTTGGGCATGTTGATTTTGTGATGCTTGTGGCAAACCCCAGTGACTCTGTGCAGGCTGTTGGATATGTGGGTCTAAAGTACCTAAGAAGGTCTGGACCAGAGGCATATATCTGGGAATTGTTGTGGTACAGATAATGGGATTGAAACAAGAGATGAGACTGCTCAGGTGAGAGGAAGGTGGTGGAAAATGAGAGGAAGGCCCAGGACTGAACTTTGACACACCGTTTTTTTCTCTTAACTCTTTTTGGACATAATTTCAGACTTATAGAAAAGTAGCAAGACCATTACAAATATTTCCCATGTACCTTTCACCTAGATTTCTTAAATGTTAATATTTTACCACATTTTAAATTCTTTTCTATGTACATATGTACATTTTTCCTGATCTATTTGAGAGTAAGTTGCAGACATAACATTATTTTATCCTTAACTACTTCAGTGTGTATTTCCTAAGAATGAGGGTCTTCTCTTTCTTAATTAGAGTATAGTGATCAAAATCAGGAAGCTAACATTGGTACAATGCTTTTAACAGGCCACAGACTTCCCCCGAGTTTTGCCAATTCTCCCAATAATGTCCTTGATAGCAAAGGAAAATTCTGGCTCTTATGTTGCATTTAGTTGTCCTATCCCTTGAGTTTCTATTAATCTGAAAAAGTTGGCCAGTGTTTGTCTTTCATGACATTTCTACTTTTGTCAAGTACAGACCAGTTATTTTGTAAAGTGAATCTTGATTTGAGTTTGTCTTGTTCTTTGATAATTAGATTCAGGTTATGTATCTTCGGTGGGAATGCACCAGAAAGATGCTGTGTCCTTCTCAGTACACCCTTTCAAGAGGTACACAACACCTCTCTGGCCCATTGTGGATGATGTTAACTTACATCGCTTGGTTGAGGTGGTGCCTGCCAGGACTCTCCCTGTAAAGTTATAGTTTTCCTCTTTGCAGTTAATAAGCATGTGCCAACATTGAAAGATTAGGTTGAGGAAGAAGAGCCAGAAAGAAACCTTGTGAAGGGGCATAGGGACATGGAAGGAAGACAAGAGCATCTCAGAATCAGGAGGAGGGGCTACAAGGAGGAAGGAATGGTCAGTCATTTTGGCCCAGTGCAGCCGAACAGCCAAATGGGCGAGGGCGAAAGTGTCTATTGGCTGCAGCTTCCACGTGCAGATCATAGTGTAGGTAGAGTGATGGCCCTAAAGTCAGCTTGTGGAGAATGAAAGGGAGACAAGCGCAGACAACGGGGAAGTTTCTCTATGGAGAGGAATCTAGGCAGTGATGGAGCAGTGCGAGGGGCCAGGGAGGTGGTCTATCATAGAGTATGTACAATGACCTAGAAGGGGGCCAGGTTAGGGGTTAAAGCAAAGAGAGCAAAATGTACTTGAGGAAGCAGCAAGATAGGAGAAGGTCTTGGTGGGTCCTCCCCAGCTCCCGAGGGAAGTGGGAACAGGTGACAGAGGAAGCCAATGGTTTTGATGGTGTGGCAGGGAGGGTTTGAGTCAGAGTCCAGTCTGATGGCCTCTCTTTTCTTAGCTGAGGAGGAAGTGGAGCAGAGGCTGGAGGGGAGGGCCAGGCATGAAGAAAGGAATGAGCCATGCTTGAAATGATCTCTGGACTGGAAGAGAGTAAGTCGACCAGAGTAGAGATGGGCTGTTGGGTGGCATGAAGGCAATCCCAGGGTTTAGGGACCATGAGCTTTTAGCTGTCTGGTGCAGATAGACAAGCCAGACCTGGTGATTTACCAAGAAAGAAGCTGGACAGGGAGGGCAGTGAAGGCAGGAGGGAACTGAAAGATGGGGAGAAAGTGCAGGGTCAATGATGGAGTCTCAGTGATAGCAGGCAATTTGTGTGAGAGTATTAGAGTGAACCAAATGAAGAACAGGGGCTGGTGTTCCAAAGGGAGGGGATGGTCACTGCTGTGGAGGTGAGAGAGAAGGGCCAGATGTGTTGGGGGAGAATGGCAGAGAGGGAGTGGAGGGGAGGTACTTGGAGATGAGGTAGACTGGGAACTGGGAGGCCAAAGGATTGGTGGGAGGTCCCTAGAGAGGCCTAAGCCACCAAGATAATGGCAAGAGTTGGGGGTGTGGTGGGGAAGAAGACCATGAGCCAGGACCACAAAGAGTATGAGTCAGGAAAGCTGGCAATCCTGAGGAGATAAAGAGGGATGCTCTGGAAGCCAGAATCCTGGAGGAATGGTGCTTTTCACTGAGAGGGGACACTTTCTGGTGGGTATCAAGGAGACCAGGAACCAGCTTGGAGGGACTGGGTTGCGAGAGACAGAATAGCAGCTTTGGAGAGGACCAAAGGCTGTTTCAAGATTGAGCTAGGTCTCCGTTAAAGTTTGAGAGAAGGGAGCATTTAGAACAGAAGAAGGGTGGCTTATGACCTGCTGGTGTAGAGTGGCTCAGTTTTCCCAAGTGAGCTGCATACAAGGATGACAGACTGCAGATTGGGGAATATCAGGAAGGCTTCTTGGGTCTGATACAGCAGGAAACTCACCCCAGACCAGGAAGGTGGAGGTCTTAGCCCCACATCTGGCCCCCATATCAGCCTGAGGGGACTATCAGATCTTGGACCCAGCAGGCCCATGGCTTCCTCCAGGAAAAGCTGAGTGAATGAGGAAGAGGAGGCAGCACTGCCCATGGCCCCAGGCCAACTGAGGCTGGGCCAGTTTCCACCTTGCCCAGCCTCTCCTCTCCGGAAATCAGAGGCTTGGCTGTCCTGTAGGTGATGTAAGGGGCACAGGGAGGTCTGCTGTTGTTGGAGTGGGACTCTGCCCTCTCTTCTGAGCCTTTTAGTACCACACGAGGCTTCTGTAGCCCCCAGCATGCCTGGCTAGTCTCTGAGTCGTCATTGCACTTGCCAGTCAGAATGAGTGCAGAGCATGTTTCGGTTTCCATTAGATCAGAGACCATGATTCAAAGAGAGCCCTGGGGTTTGTGTCTTGGTTCTGTTTCTGCTACTAATGTGATGGGAGATTTTGGGAAAGTCCTTCTTTCTGGGCCTCAGTTTCCTTATCTGTGTACTGGGGCTGTGACAGGCAGCCCCTCTAAATCCAACTGTTATCTATTCCCAAGGTGGAAACTCCTCTCACTTGGTTCTAATCAAATCCCATCTGAACTATGAACTGGTGAGTCAAACAGGCCCCAGGACCCCAAAGCCTTTTAGGTTTTTAGGGTTGAAGAGGTCTCCAGCATTTCCTCAGCTCTGGGGCTCATCCATCAATCATATGGCAGCTGTATATCTTCCCTACCACTTAATATTTTCTTTCACATGCCCCCCCACCTCGCCCCCCAGGGTGCTCTTGACCACAGACACAGGAAGTGGCTTCTTAAGGCCTCGGCACCACGCCTCCATCCTCCTTTATTTATTCCCTATTCCCTGCCTGAAATGCCAACAGCAGGCATGTATTCCTTGAGCTAGACATGGATCTCTAAAGATACTGTGCGTTAGAATAGGAGTCTGGGTTGCTATCAAACAATTCACCTTAGTGGAATAATAGGCTTGATCCTTTCCCAAAGAAAAACAGATTTTGATAGAATAGAGGGTATGTCCAGAACCTGGGGCGGGAGGATAGGTGGGAGGGGCAGGGGATAACAGGCCACCCCTAGGGGGCTGCGCCAGCTGCAGGAACCCTTGACTCATAATCTACCCTCTCTTTCCATTCCTTTCCCCAACTCTAGGGCATCCACCAGGAGTGAAGAGCTGACTCTGTCACTTTACCTCTCCCTTTTCCTTCCCTGACCCAGAGTCCTGGGGACCCTTCAGACCCTTCAGCCTGGTTGGGTGTAAGGGGCAGTGGAGCCGAGTTCTCAGGGTTCCACAACTGAGCTGTCAGCATAGAATTTCTACTCCACAGTTCAGGTACCACGGCAACTGAGAGAAATAAACACTCTGGGTTTCACAGTCCAAGTTCTGCAGTGATGTCATCTCTAGCTCCTGCCTGCTTTGCCCTGTGACTGGCTGCACTCTAGACAGCTCAAGCTGGAGGACTGTCTTTCTTCCCAGCCCCCAGATCACCTCTGGATGGGGGAGAGAGTGGACACAGAGGCTCTGGTAGGGCACTTGGAACAGGCCTCACACAAGCCCAGCTTCTTGCCTGCCGCTTAGATAACTCAGTAACTGCCATTGCCCCTTCCTCGGCCTCAGCCATGAAACTGCCCAAGGAGGCCAGGAACTCTGTGTTCTATGGGCAGCGCCCAGAGAAGAAGGTGCAGGTGCCCTCATGGCAGGAGATAAAGCAGACCCCTGTGATCATGGCAATGATCAAAGGTGAGAGCAGTTTCCCACCTTGGGTTTGGGCCCATTCTTCTCTCTGCAGAGCTACTTGGCAGGTGTCCCAGCCTTCCAGCACTGCCTCCTGAAGACTCTCCTTGAAGCCTATGGAAGATCTGTGCCTCCATGCTGAACCTCATAGGCAGTGTTAGTTAGCTGCCGGAAATTTTTTTTGGGGGGGATAGGGCACCAAGGGAGCATGGAGCATGAAGTGAGGCTAGTTTTGGAAAGAGGCTAGGGATTTATTGGAGCCTATAGCTCGACTTTAGATTTCCTTGCTTCCCTTGAATCTTACTCTCAAATGAAAGTAGAAAAGCTAAGTTTTAGTACATCGTTAATGATCAATTATTGTTCTATGTGGGAAGTGCTTGAGTATGTGATTAAATGTTTGGACTCCATTGGCTGACTGTCTCAGAATTTTCACATCATCAGTTTGTGTGACTTTAGGCAAATTGATATTCCTACACTCTCAATTTTCTCATCTTTAAGGTGGAAAAAGGTTAGTCTCTTTCTTACAGAGTTGTTGGAAGGCTTAACTGAAATAATCCATATAAAATGCTTAGCATAGTACTTGGCACAGAATAAGTTCTCACTTAATCGTAACTATTACCCATTACACATTGCCTGTCCAAGAGAAATTATATATTATCTGGGAACACTGCCTTTAATCCAAGAAAGCAGCTCAATGGTGGGATTGTGACAGTGTGACCTCAGTGGCAGCAAGATCCCAATGTTCTCATGACACTATATTTGGGGCTTCCCGCTTCTGATCTGGTGGGTCCAGGCTGAATGCTGTTCTGTCTGCTCTCACAGGTCCAGGGCCTGCCAAGTACCTGAGGCCCTCCTGTGTGGGTTACCTAGGCCATGACAGCTCCATGTTCCAGGAGCCAGCCTGCACTCTGCACACTCGGCCCTGGGAGAAGCGTGAGTGTGCCCCATGCCTGTCACTCCTTTGGGTGTAGGGTTATTATTGTTGAATGTTTGGGGTGGCAGTAAGAGAAAAGGAGCCATTATCTGTAGCCATAGGCCTCTGGGAACCCAGGCCTGACCTGAGTGGGATGCCTGGTGGTTCCAGCAGGAAGCCAGCAGGGATACCTAAGTGACCTAGCCCCCTGAAGGTGACTGTGGGCGTCTCCCAACTAGACTTTCTGAGCTTTGAAGGGATGTCTGTCCAGCTGGTAGAGCAGAGTCCTGTCTGGTCTTTGGCTGGGATCTTTCAGCTCTGGCTGCCGTGGTTCACTTGCCATAGCAGCTAGACAGGAATAGCTGGGGACTGGGAGGAAAGTGGTGGAGGTGGTGGATCCCAAGGCTTCCCAGGTGGCTTAGAACCCTCTGGAAGTGTGGAAGCAGAGGGCCACACAGTAGAGCTGAAACCACTGACTAAGGTGAGTGAAAGGAGAGGCTGAGCAGGGGTATGTCTCTGGGGATCGGAGATCTAGGGTTTCTGCTAGGCCCTTCCCTGGAGTGACACATCGTCCTCGGTAGGGGATCCCCTGGCTGGGGCTTGGGCCCCTTCTTAATACTAACAATAGCCACTATACCTATTATTACCCCTTGGCACCAATCCCTGACCAGCTGACCAAGCTGCTGTGCAGCTGTTGTTATTTTATCTGTCCCTCTGAAGAAGTTCTTGGGAATGTTAAAAGCCCCTCTTACAGATGAGAAAATAAAAGTTCCCAAAACACCCAAGAGCGCAAGAAATTGGAAGGCACTCCTCTCTTGGGGAGGGAGATCTCTCCTGGAGACAGGCCAGGCTAACCCGAGGTGGCCTCTGGGACTAACTGAGCCCCTCCTTGGCTGCCCTGCAGGGATCATGGACATATGCAACCCTGGGCCTCGCTACTTCTTGGATCCTAAAATAACTCGGTTTGGAATGTCCAGCTGCCCTCAGGTCCCCATGGAGGAGCGCATCTCTAACCTGCGTAAGATGGGATGGGGAGGGAGGTGGGGGTTGGAAGGTTTGGGGAAAGAAGTCCACCCTTAGGACCTGAGCAAGGGCAAAGGGTCATGACTCCTCTCACCAGGTGTGTCTATGGATGCTAGCATCTCTGCAATGTCACATCAAGACATCGATGTTACCATGTCTGTGTCACAGTACTTAACATCTCGAAGCCAATGCTATATATGTATGTCGTGGGGTAATGTTATAATAAAAATGAAGCTCATGTCAGCAATATTGTCAGGCTAATGAGCTCATGGACTGTAATGATTCCAGGACGTTTTCTTGGTGCTATCACAGGGACAATGTCAAAAGCTGACAGCCCAAGGGTGATGTTCTAATGACACTTGTGGTTTTTATATTGTGACGACAGGGTCACGTCCTGATGTCAAAATGGCCTAAGTCCCTACCCTGCCCATAGCCCCATGCCAGGTGTGTATGTGTCCCTGATTGAAGCTAAGGTGGCTCTAGTAAAGTCTAGTAAAGTCTAGAAAAGGTGAATCAAGTCTGCGGCTCTCTACCTTCACCCACTTTCAGGCCTGAGCTCCACTCCAGCTTCTTGCCACTACTACTTGGAGAAGACCCGCATTCCTGGGGAATGCAGGGCTCCCCAGTACACTTTTGGCTACCGGTGCCCATACAGAGTGATGGATCCCAATCCGGCTCCCAACCAGTACAAGCTGCCACTCTTACTGGGGCCCAACATCCCTGTCAACCGAGCTGCTCCTTGCTACAGTTTGGCCTCTGCAGACAAGAACTGGTTCTACAAAGAGAATGTGGCAGGAGGCCCTGGGCCGGCTATGCATGCTCGACCTGAGCCATCTGTCTACCAGAACCGTAGCCCTGTCTACAGTATGGCCAAGCGCTTCGCCTATCCAGTGGACCATGGACCTCGGCCTGGTCCGGGCTCCCATCACATTGAGCAGGTCACAGTGCACAAGCCCCGCACACCTGCTTTCACCATGGGTGTCAAACACTCACCCCACCTGTGCCCGCTGGTCATTGACATTCACGACTGAGGCCCCTCCTTCCCCACAGAGGATAATTTTCTATTCCAAATTGAGCAACTTACCAATGTTTTAAGTAGCAGAGCTTGTGCCTGCTATGTCTAGCACACAAAATGTTAGATAAATATATATATTTATTTATTTCTCATTTTGCAAATGTTCATGACTGCTTCCTTTACGCCCTGCCCTGGGTGAGGGGTAAGGATACTGGGAGACATTGTAGGGGTCCTTGTCTGGGAGAAGTTCTGTCCTGGCTCACCAAGGGAAGGCACCCACGTGTCCTCCAAAAAGCCCTGAGCACAGACTCCAGAGAGCTGAGTTCTAGTCCTAACTCTGCCAGTAATGTGCTGTGTGGTCTTGTGTAGCTTCTGTTCCTCTCTGAGCCTCAGGGTTGCCCTTTGGGCAGTGAGGGTGGGGGATAGGCCTGGAGGATGTCCAAGTTCCCTCCAGCTCCAGAACGGTGTGACTCTGATCCCTGACAGTGTGCAGCACCCAAGAGAGGAACAGGGCAAGTGGGTGGAGGCAGAGGAGGGAGGAGTCTTTCAGGTTGGGGATGGGGAAAGGGGAGTTTTCCTGGGGAAAAGACCTGGAGGACAAGCAGAGACAGTGTGTATGTAGAAGGAAGGGTACTTATGGTGGAGGTAAAGTTAAGAGCAAAGGCAAGCAGGTGGGACCAAATGGTGCAGGACAGGGAGCTGGGGAGGCTCAGAGGACAAGAGCTCAGGCTGCAGGAGGCTCTCTGGTAATGGGACCAGATGGTGGACAGCTTAGATTTAGGCTTTGTCCTCAGTGTAGTGGGGCTAGATAAGATGCAGTATTTTCAGAATTCTTTGGACAGAGAGAGAAGGTTGACAGGATGGGCAGAGCTGGAGGCTGTAGTCAGCCTAGGCATGAGGTCTGCATGTCACATGCTGTCTTTGGAGAGTCACTTGTATGTCCCCAACCTCAACAGCTTAGCCCTGCAATGCCCATTAGAGAAGGAGCCACACACTAGCCAGGAGGGGGCAGTGTTACTTTGCTTCTGAGTCCAGGCCTTGCCCACCGCCCCGACCCTTTCTGACTTGGCTACTTTTAGGCAGACAGGTGCCAGAGTTCTTGCCACTCTCTGGGGAGGATGGGGTCTCTGGGGCTGGTATTTGTCCTTCTTTAGTTCTTGATATCCAAATCCCCCATTCTGACTTGCCCCCCACCCCTGGGACTAGCCCTTATCCCAGCTACCCTGGCCACAGAAAGTGTAAGGGGGACTTCTATTTCTGCTCTGCAGCCTGGGCCAATGGAGGGAGGGAAGGCAGGAACTGTGAAGGGAGAGGGTCTTAGGGGAGGAGGCGAGGAGGCGAGGAGGCGGACTGTCTTCCAGACCCCGCGGCTTAGGCAGAGACGTATTCTTCTGCATCCACTGACCCAAATGCTGAGGGAGGCAAGAAGAAAAGACCACTCAGAATCTTTCTGATATGTCTGATGGCTCATCCTTTTGAATTTGAGAAATACTCAGATTTTAATTGAAAGTGAAAATTGAATTGAAGAACTAACTTTGGGCAGAAAAGAGCAGAGAATATCTTTGGAATATTTTTAAAAACATACAACTGATTATTTTTAAAAGGGGCTTGCAGAAAATTCTACTGGGGTCACATTTTACTCTGGGCCCAAAGTACCTGCTCCATTCCCCTCTCCTCCAGGCCTAGGGTGTTATGTCTGTCCTGTCTTCCACTCTTTTCAAAAAGGCTGGGCTGGGCAGGCTCAAGAGGGAGAGAGTGAGCTTGGCGACCCATCTGTCTTGCAGCAGATTAGAAAGATGTCATTTTGCTGACATTGCCATTTATCACAGAGGCTGCAAAAATTAGTAATGCTTGGGCTGAAAGTGTTGAGTAGGGGTGGGGGCTGGAGGGTGGCAACGGTTGATGCTCTTCTGTGTCGCACGCATGGTAAGAGGAGCTTCAGGGCAACCTCTAAATACAGGTTTTTTGATTTAGTGCTCAGACCCTCCCAAGGCTCTCTAGTGGAAAGATGAGGAAACTGAGGCCTGAAGTCAGGGAAATAACATGTGAAAATTAATGGCTTGTCTCTAAATAAAGGTCCAGTGTGTGACCGAGATCAGAGCTCAATGAATGACCAGGGTCAGGGCTCAGGGTGTGACCAGGGTTGGGGCTCAGTCTGTGACGAGAGTCAGGGCTCAGCCTAAGGGTGAGACCATTGACTTATATTAAGACGAAATCCTAGTTTTTGCCTCCGTGGCTCAGTCTGGGGCAGACCTTGGTTTGACCTCAGCTGCCACCCAATCTGGGTAGGGCCTGGCAGTTGGCCCTAGAGTTAGAACTAACCCTTGGGGTGGGTTTGTGATCCCAAAGGAAGGAGAGAAGGAGGCTGGAGGGTTCAGAATGCATCTTCAGGGGATGAACATGTTTGGAAAATAGATGACCCCACCAAGAAGGGGACATAGCCTCCAGGGAAGATAAATGGGGCCAGCCTTGTGCCTCAGGCCACAAAATGACAGGGCCATTTAGCTCAGGAGCGACTTTTTGACAAAGCAGTCTGTATCTCTTGGCCTTGCCTCCCTGTGGTGGTGACCAGGTAGGTGACCTACAGGAGGTCAGTGGGCATGGCCTCCCAGGCCTGGCTGAGTGCCAACACCACCCCTTCTGAGCAACTTGGGAGGCCAACCTTGACCTGGTAGGAAGCCCTGGTCTTGTAGGGCTTACATCTGTGGCCTTAGTACTTAGACCTGGAGCCTGGCACATTTGCTGAGCTACTCTATGCCAGGCTCTGGCTGTGCCTGGGTGTACCGAAAACTACAGAAACTACAGTCACATGACTCTCCTAGACGCTGGACCTTACACTGCACACAACGCCTGCCCCGCCCCTCTCCCCCCATACCAGACACATTCAAATGCAGGCCTTATATTATCCTTACAAGGAAAGATAGATGCATCACACACACTGCATATGCACAGACACCACAGCATATACTACCTATACCTATTCTCCCCAGGCATCTTCTTATCTCATGCATGTGGCCATGTCCACTCAGGTTTATTCACATCGCTCAGTGCCCTGGAGAAGAAAACATGTAAACCATGAGAATACTCCCTCTCCTCCCCCGGGCAGGCACAGGGGCAGAAGGGAGATTGGGAGGGTCTGTACTCAGGAGGAAGTTGGAGCGTGATTCCCAGCCCTGGGGTCAGAGGAGCCCTCCAGTTTGGGGTCCTGACTCTGTATGGGGCGCACTTGCTGTGAGGCCCTCCCAGATCTCTCTTCCCTGCCCGCCTGAGATGCCCACCTGAGGGGTCACCGAAGGAAAAGTGGACTAGAGTAGGCACTCCTGCCACTTAGTCCTCCAGTTCCTCATCCTTGGCCGGGGCAGGGGCAGGGGAGCTGGTTGGAGGGCATTGTCCTTGGATCCCTGGTGAGGGTCAGCAGTTGCATCTCCAGGCTCACTGGAGATGGAGAGTCCTGTTCCTTCTGGCTTCTCCTTCCTCCTCTGTATCCACAGTCTCCCATTTGGCTCCTCTCCCTCCAAGTCTCTCCGCTTCCCTCTGGCTGTCCTTTCTCTTCTCCCTCACTCTTCCTCTTGCTTCCCTGTCCTTCTGCTCTGTTTATCCTCTAGAATACAGCTCGACATTTTATTACCCTGCAAATAACAGAACTATTCTTGGAGGCCCTGACAAGAGGAGGGTTGTGTGACCTGTGGGCAATGTGACCTGTGGGCGGCATGGCTGGGGGCACCCACAATCTCACCGTCCTTCGTTTTTCTCTTCTAGAGCTTCATTTTTCCTAGGAGATGGGAAACATGTTTCCCTTCAGGGGAAGAAGAGAGACAAAAGAGAAATAAAAACTGTAATCGTAGTCTTGTAAACACAGTATGTAGTGTAGAGTAGGGGATCAGCAGGAGAGAGGGAGTGAGGTAGTGGCAGGGACAGAGGAAAGGGAGCTGAGAGATGGGAGGAAGGTGAGCCGGGTAAGCAAGAGCCCCTGCCTCAGGGCGTAGGTTGGTGTGGGCACCAGGCAGGGCTGCCAGGGGGAAGAGACCAATAAAAAGGTTAATCAGGGATGGTGGAAAGATCTGAGGAAGGAGAACTTACGTAGATTTCCAGGCAGGGCTGGGGAGGGAGAAGGCTTCCAGGCTCTGGGACACCAAGGTGAGTAAGATAGACAAGTGTCTGCTTTTGTGGACTGTAAAATCTACCGTAAACAAAGCAGTGGTTTCGTGTGTTCAGCACTTGCCGTGTACCAGCCCTTAAATAAGCTGAGAGTCAGAGAGGGTGAGCGACTTTCCCAGTGAGACACAGTCAGGGGTGGGGGCACCAGGGTTCCAGCCAAAGTCTGACTCCAATTCTTCTTTCGCACAGCGCCTGCTAGGGGGCTGGGGCTGGGAAAGAGGGCTAGGGACTTCTCTGGGCCCCAGTTTCCCTATCTGAAAAGTAGAGAGAACGTTGGCTGCTCTGCAGGGCTGTGGGAAGGATCAAATGTCTGGATTCGGGTGGTCATCCAGCTTTAGTTCCTTGGAGAGCCAGCTGAGGATGTGGGGGAACAAAGAACACCCAGTGCTGGGAGGACTGGTCAGTAGCAGCTGCAGCTTTAGAAGCTGGAAGGAGGGAGACCCCAGCTTCACGCCCTGCTGCTACCCAGTGGCAAGATTTTGGTACTGCAGGCAATGGGTCTGGATGGTATGGCAAAAGGGTCAGAGCTGGAAGATGCCTCTAGGGAGTGTTATCTGGTTTTCTCTGATCCTGTTTTGCAGATGCCCTGAGAGGGGAGGAACTTACCCCCAGGTTACCCAGGGCAGAATCTTGGGCTGGGATTGGCTTTCAGGGCAGGGTGCTTCCCCTCAGTCCTGTGGTGCTCAGGAAGCTCCCCTGGAGCCTCAGAGCAAGGGAGGTTGAGCTCTGTATCCTTTGCTTGAAGCCACTTCCTCCTGGGAGTCTTCCAGAGTTTCCTCCAGCAGGATGTGGCCTCACTCTTGCCCTGCAGCCCTACACACATCTCCTCTCTTTGTTCGTTCTGCTCCACCAACCCTGAACTGTTTCTCTCCCTCAAGCAAATTAGATAGTAGGTCACCTGGAGACATTAAGGATGATGAACCATCTTCACTACACGAGGGTCACCAGCCGGGGGCCCAGCTCTGTCCTAAGACTTTATCTGAATTACATCACTTGAGCCTCATAACGACTACAGGAGGTTGGAGTGATTTTTGAGCCGAATTTTTTTTTTGGCTGGGTACAGTGAACTTTACTGATAGTGCAGGACAAGGTAAGGCTCCCTAAGCCTCTCCCCTTCTTCAGGGGGGCCAGGAGATTCTCAGTGTATTGGGAAATCGATTTGGCGCAAGGACTCCTCAGCAGCTGAGGGCCTCTTCTTCTCGCTGGGGCTGGTGTTCCATGGGGCTCTTTCTCCTCGGAGGCTATGTGGACCATAAGGTCCACCACCTTGTTGCTGTAGCCAAATTCATTGTAATACCAGAAAATGAGCTTGACAAAGTGGTCATTGAAGGCAATGCCAGCTCTAGCATTGAAGGTGGAAGAGTGTGTGTCTCTGTTAAAGTCACAGGAAACAACCTGGTTTTCGGTATAGCCCAGGATGCCCTTGAGGGGATCTGTGATGCCTGTTTCACCGCTTTCTTGATGTCATCATATTTGGCAGCTTTCTCCAGAAGGCAGATCAGATCTACAACTGACATCCTGGGGGTAGGGACACAGAAGGCCATGCCAGTGAGCTTCCCATTCAGCTCAGGGATGACCTTGCCCACAGCCTTAGCAGTGCCAATGGAAGCAAGGATGATGTTCTGGGCAGCCCTTCGGCCATCATGCCACAGTTTACTAGAGGGGCCATCCATGGTCTTCTGGGTGGCAGTGATGGCGTGGATTGTGGTCATGAGTCCTTTTATGAAGCCAACGTTGTCATGGATGACCTTGGCCAGGGGGGCCAAGCAGTTGGTGGTACAGGAGGCATTATTGACAATCTTGAGAGAGTCGTCATACTTCTCATGGTTCATACCCATCACAAACATGGGGGCATCTGCAGAAGGGGCAGAAATGATGACTCTCTTGACTCCACCCTTCAAGTGAGTCCCAGCTGCAGGAAGATGCGACTGTCTGTCAAATGGGCGGAACAGAGAGACGAGCCCCAATTTTTGAGTGAGGAAACAGGCACAGAGACATCATAACTTTTAGACACCTGGGTAGGAAACCCTGCTCTATCCATTCTATGGAGAGGGGCTTGCATTTGGAGATGAAAACTATCCCCATGGTCATATGACAATCAGCTATGACCAGACACTGAAACAACTGGTACAGGGGTCTTGTGGGCTCCAGTCTCAGCGACACCACTATGCTGCTGTGTGACTTTGGGTAAGGCCCATCCCTCTCTGAACCTCTGGTTCCTCATCTATGAAATATATGTGTATGTATTCTGAGTTTCTTCAGAGACCCATTTTGGGTCTGGAATTTGGCATGTCCAACCTTAGCTTAGCCTGGGGTGCATTGTTCTGAAGGGCACTGGGAAGAAGGGGTGAGCAGGTGACAGGTCTGGGAGGGCAGAGCTCAGGCTGGGTCCCTCAAGTGCACCTCCTGCTGGGGTGTCAGTGTGGGAGGCGGGGGGCAGGGGATCCAGGGGAAGTGTTATTGGCTGTGAGGGTAGGAGAGGGGTACAGATTGGGACAGGTATGGGGTAATGGGCTGGCCCTTGGGCCTAGGAACCTTTTCCTCTGCTGCCTGCCATGGAGGGGCATTTTTCTTGGCAGGAAACAACCTCATCAATCAGCGGCAATGGGAGGCTGACAGCCGGCCCCTCCCCGACAGCCTGCTTAAGGCAGACTCATAAATCCCACTTGGGCTGGGGCTGGGCTGTAAATTCCTGTGATTCATGCCTGGTCTCTTGGGCTATGGGACATTCTGCTCTCTCCTGGGCAGAACAAGGGGAGTAGCTTATTCATGGGGCCTGGGGGGCTCAGACAGCCTCTTCCATAGGCTTGTAGGCTCTATGGAGATGTGGCTGCTAAACCCCCTAGGACACTTCAGGCCCGCCCTGAGCCATCTTCACCCAGACCTGTCTATCTCAGCCTTCAATCTCAGCCATTCCTGATCTGGCCTAAATCACTGCAGGGATTAAATGTGAAGACACTTTCTGTGTCCTCTGAGATCTCCTGGGGCCTGTGGCTAAGAGGGACCACCGACTTACCTTAACTTCTCCTGCTACTCCACACGTCAATCCAACTTGGTGATGATGAGGACAAGGTGGAAACCGGGGCCCAGTCTGTGTGTTTCTCATTCCAGTGGGCCTGGGGCCCTGAACCCACTGTCTTTCAGGGAGGGAAGGGCCTCAGAGACCTTCTGGTGCAAGGCTGCAGTCATTTATCAACTTCCACAAGGACTTTTATGATGCTCAGATGCCAGCCTTTCTTATTGACTTAACATTTTTCTTTAAACTGGATCACTTTTAAAATTTCAATGTATGTTTGAGCCTTGTCTTAAGCAATATTTGTGAAATCAGGTGTCTGATGTGTTGGTTAAACACACACACACACACACACAAACACACACACATGAGAGATTAATACATGAAAATAAATACATGGTTAAAATAGCAAATGCCCATCTGTGAACTGTCTAAAATAGTCTTGTGTCTCACCAATGAGGTATATACCTTTCTTTAAGAAAAGTGGCTCTATGAACATCAGTATGCAGGCCAACAAATATATGAAAAGATGCTCAGTATTGCTAGCTATTAGGGAAACACAAATCAAAATCACAATGAGATACTATCTCACACCTGATAGAATAGCTACAATCAATAGGACAAGTAATAACAAATGCTGGAGAAGATGTAGAGAAATAGGAACCCTCATACACTGTTGGTGGGACTGCAAATTGATACAGCCACTATGGAAAACAGTATGGAGGTTCCTTAAAAAACTAAGAATGGATCTACCATATGATCCAGCAATCCCTCTCCTGGGTATTTACCCCAAAGACTTGAAAACTCATATCCATAAAGATTTTTGCACACCAATGTTCATAGCAGCATTATTCATGGTAACCAGGACATGGAAGCAACTGAAGTGTCCTTTGATAGATGATTGGCTAAAGAAGCTGTGGTACATATATACAATGGAATATTACTCAGCCATAAGAAGAGATGAAATACTGCCATTTGCAACAACCTGGATAAACCTCAAGATAATCATGCTAAACGAAATAAGCCAGACTGAAAAAGCTGAAAATCATGTGATATCACTTATATGTGGGATACAAAACTAAAAGCAACAAATGAACAAGACAAACAGAGACTCAGGGACATGGACAATGGACAAGTGGTTACCAGAGGATAGGGGGTGGGGTAGGAGGGGAGAGGTAGACAGGGTAAAGGGGATCAAATATAGCGGGGTTGGAGGAGGGTGAAGTGGGTAAAGGAGATCAAATATATGGTAGCTGAAGGAAACTGGAGTCTGGGTGGTAATCACACAATAGAATATGTAGATGTCAAATTATAATGTACACCTGAAAATTCTATAATTGTATTAACCAATGTTACCCCAATAAACTTAAAAAAAAAAAAAGAAAAGTGGCTCTAGTTCTTTTTATTTTACAGACAAGGAAATCAAGGCATAGAGAGATATAGGAACTTGCCCAAGGTCACGCAGTACTGAGATTATCAGCCAGCTCACCTGACTCCCAGCCTAGTGCTCATTTTACAGAAACGTGCTAATTATTTGTGATCAGGGTGTACAGGCCTTTCTTTCCCCAGAAGCACGTTTGGATCTCCAGAGGCCTTTTGGAGAGTGTGCCTTAACGCAGAGCACAATGGGCTTCCTGGCAGCAGAATGATGAGGGCAGGCAGACATCCTGGGTCTCCTGGTGAGATTAGGCACAGCCTTGTGCTCTGGCTGCCCTTCTTGGTGTCCATGGCTCCTACAGCAGCTCGAGACTGGGAAGACATGAAGAAAGGGGTCTTAGGGGAGGTGGAGAGCAGGGCTCCAGCAGCTGCCCTTCCCTAGGGAGCTGTTACAGAGGCGATAATTAGTGGCACCAGCTCCCAGGCTGGCAAGGCAGGTGGCCCCATTAGCACCTTCCCTGCACCACTGCCACTTTCACACTTTCAAGCTCTTGCCACTGTACTGCCACTGCCGCCACTGTCATCACCCCAGAGACATGGGGAGCAGGAAGGATGTGTGTGTGCAGGGTGGCCAGGGCGTGTGTACACTGCATACACACAAGTCCATGCACACACAGCACATGTGCACACATACACACTCATAATCCAGTGCACACATATTGTGAGATGTGCACATCTAGGTGTATGCACACTACACACACACACACACACACACACACACACACACAGAAACATATATATCTAATCCAGATAGACTAGCATGGTAATATGTACTACCTAACACATCGTATAAGTACAGATTCCATATAGTGATGTGTATACGCAGAGGTGAAATTAAATACGAAGACATACAGTGCACACATGCAGATGCCCATGCAGAATGTAGACACACATTCATACCAAGAGACTCAGGTGTGGTATTCACACAAACAGCCTGACAGTTGTCTCCAGACTCAGGGGTACATGTGGAATTGTACACATCTGTTGGTGTTCCTACAGGTTGGTGAGCCTGCAAAAACACACGGAAGCACATGGTTTGTATGCAGGGATACTTACATGCACACATACATGCAAGAGTATGTATGAGGGTTATGTTTTTCTTGGAATCTAACAGGGCTCCAGGTACAGGGACTAATTAATTCCCTGGAGAAGAGAGGACACATTTAATGAATTCTTATCATTCCTGACGGAGGGAGAAAGGAAAGGAAGGAAGGAGAGAGGGATAGGGGGGCAGCTGGAGGAGTGCAGGTAAAGAGGGGGTGAGAGCAGGTTTGAGAGACCCTCAGGGTCCAGGGCATTAACCCTTTCAGCTCATGCCAGGCCCAGGGATCCCATCACTCAGCTCCAGTTCCAACACCAAGAGGGCCCTTCAAGGCAAGTGGTTGGGCCCGTATAGAAATCTCCTTGCAGCGCTCCCTCTGCACAGTTCTGGGGAAGGAGACTCACCTGGTCTTTCATTTGCTTCTGCTGAGTGGAAGTCTGCTGCCCTGGGACCTCCCACCCTCAGCCCCCTTTGCTTTTGGGTTCATTGGCTCAGGGGCCAGGGGGGTCTCCTTTCATAGGACTGGGTGGGGAGATATGACTGCTCAAAGAGGCCTCCCTGGACACCCAAGCAGCTCACTCTGATCTCTGCCCCAAGAGAAAGTCAGGGACACATGGGTGGACAAAGGGAGACTCTGAGGGAGAGAAGGATGTGAGCCAGGAAAGAGGAGAGATGAGGGCTTGGGAGTGAGACAGAGACACAGGGACCAGAGATGAGATAGATGCAGACACGAGAGAGATGGAGAGACACTAATAAAGAGACAGAGAAAACTGTGAGAGAGACTGAGACTTAGACGGTGAGAGCCAGACAGGCCTCGAGACACAAAAGGAGATCTAGAGACAGAATCAGAGCCAAGATGAGACAAATCTTAAGTGAAGAGATACAAAGAAAGGTCCAGAGACTGGGGGAGACAGCCGAAATCTGCCAGTTTCCCTGGTCAGAAGGGGATCCTCCATGTGGAAGCATGGGGGAAGAAATTATGGCCTAAAGAAGATGCTGTGTGTTACTTCCTGGGCCACACAACTTCTCTGAGCCTTGGCTGCTGGTCTATAAAGTGGGGGGTGGGCTGAACCTACTTCTGAGTGGGCCTTGAGGCTCAGGAAAAGGTAGCCTGGCCCTCTGTTCCCTTTACTTCCCCCTGGGGCACATGAGCCTGCAGATGGGGATGGGGGCTCTACAGGGGCTCAGGGTTCAGGACCCACTTGGAAGCCCTGGAGCTGGCAAACCTGGTAAAAGAGGAATGTCTCGGTGGGGCCTGTGTAATGTGCTGCAACCGCATAGCACTGAGTGATGGAGGGTTTACCCTGAATATTGAAAATGCATAAATATCCATTTTCAGGCACCAAGGCAAATATAAATACAAGGTAGAGGGTGTCAGCCTGCACTAGTAATATACCAGCTTGCTGCTGGTGGTGGCATGGAGACTTTTGCTTGACTGTTAGGAGCCTTTTTGAAATGGCTTTATGATTGACTTCCAACTGCCACCTGGGTTCCTTCTCCCGGAGAAGTGGCTCCTTGGGAATCACTGCCTATGCTAATGGTGGAGCATGATGGTCATTCCTGAGCCTGCTCCATCCCCAGCCTTCAGGGCCT